TGTCAAACTTTTTAGCTTTTACCATTTAGCTGTAATGTTGGCATATATGTTCTAATATAAACAAAATTATTCCTGTATCAGCCTCAACAAGAAAGAGTTTATTCATCATATCTTCAGTTGGATTTAGCAGATGTTGAGCCATGCATATCAGGACCAAAACGGTACGTTTCTTATAAATATTTCCATTGGATCTATAGTATGGTGCTGACGTGACCCGTTACTGATAGGCCACATGACCGCGTTCCTCTAAAGGAAATGAAGGCTGATTGGCATGGGTGTCTTAACAATAAAGTTGGGTTTAAGGTAAAACCATCTGCTTAATTTTGTTTACTTGTTTTTTTAAATTCATTTCACTATTCCTCTCTTGTATATATTGTTATTATGGGCTCTCATTTGGTGTTAATTCATTACCTATCACATTGTTATCTTGTAGGGATTTGCTATTCCCAAAGAAGAGCAGGATAAAACTGTTAAATTTTCGTTCAATGGCCAGACTGCTGAATTGAAGCATGGTAGTGTTGTTATAGCAGCAATAACAAGTTGCACAAACACATCAAACCCAAGTGTTATGTTGGGTGCTGCTTTGGTCGCAAAGAAAGCTACTGAGTTGGGTTTAGAGGTTAGTTAACTTGCCTCTTATGATCATGTTTTATGTCTTGCTCTTAGGATTCGAATGATGACGCATTAACAATTCCGTGACATGTTTCTGTAAATTCCTTGGTTGATTGCCTTTTGAAAGGTGGTCGGTTGAATGAATTGAACAAGTTCCTTAAATAATATTTATTTTTACATATAAAAACTAATTAATCTTGTAACACAATTACATTCCTACTTGTTAAATGTTTTACCAATGAAGTAAATTGTAGACTGTTGTGAATAGGATAGGTGGTTCTAGTGACTATAGATTTTATATGTTACCAAGCTCTGAATTTGAGGATTTTGCTTTTTTAAAAATCTGGTATGTTAAAATCACCTCAAGATCACTTCTGGATTGAGAGATATGCACATATCTCTCAATCCAAATAGTATGTTAAATATGACTTAAAAATCTAGTACAATGGCAAAGGGTCAACTTCAAAATGCACATATCTCTCAATCCAGAAGTGATCTTGAGGTGATTTTGTTTTATATATTGTACTAGATTTTAAGTCATATTTAACATAATATCTTGAGCCTCAAGATCACTTCTGGATTGAGAGATATGTGCATTTGAAGTTGACCCTTTGCCATTGTACTAGATTTTAAGTCATATGTAACATACTATTTGGTGGATTGTTTTGCTTTTTTTTATCATCCTTTTCAGCCAATTATATAATAATTTTGTCATCAGGTCAAGCCCTGGGTTAAAACCAGTCTGGCTCCTGGATCTGGAGTAGTTACAAAATATCTGGAAAAGAGGTAATGGTTTTTTTCATATATTGATGACATAATTTTTCAATAAAATTAATCAAAATGCTTGTTTATGGATCATTTATTTTTCGGTTTGTGCTTTATATAGTGGTCTGCAGAAATACTTGGATCAACAGGGCTTCAGCATTGTTGGTTATGGTTGCACAACTTGTATTGGAAACTCTGGTGATCTACATGAATCTGTTTCTGCAGCTATCTCTGAGAATGGTATGTCCATTGTGTGTGTTAATTATGCTTTAGCTCTGTCTGTTATTCTGTTTAGATACTTTCTAGCATAAACTTCTTTGATGTAATCCAAATATTGTTCTAAGTAAAAATAGTTGGCTTGATTTTTGGTTTTTGTAATATTTTTGCTCTCTTATTTCAGTCTCTTTTCTATTTCTTGATATTTGTTACAAGTCTGCTTGAGATCACTCTGAAATCCACAGAGCTACATATAGTCTTTAAAATGTAAAAAAAGTAGTAAACATGCTTATATACAGTAGTTGATGGTGAATTTTCAGTGACGCTGCCATTTGTGTAGTCTATGTCTTGTTTGTGATGCCATATTATTATATCATGCATTGCATTAACTTGAATGCTCGTATTAGGGCTACTTTCTAACAACTAAGAAATGCTTCTAATCCACCATGGTGTATTGTGTGCCTGGTTCGTTTATACAGACATTGTTGCAGCAGCTGTGCTTTCTGGTAACCGTAATTTTGAAGGGCGTGTTCATCCTTTGACACGAGCCAACTATCTTGCTTCTCCTCCGTTGGTTGTTGCTTATGCATTGGCTGGAACTGTAAGTACACAACTGCCTTGGGATATGCATGGTATCTAGATTCAATGGTTGTTTATGATAGTTAAAATACACCTGGACACAGATGCAGGGATGAGCTCAGATTGTTTATGGTTTAAGTTTTATCTTATTTTTAGTTGTGTATTTGATAATGCATTAATTCCTCATTTTCTTGAGGTTTGAACAAAATTGAAGGTTTGTTGAATTGTGGAACTGCATAATTATTTAATACTTATTAAATATCTAGTTCTTTTAGAGTTTTTAATTTCAAGGCCGTGTAAAGTATTAAAAGAATTTGTTTTGCTGGGGGGTAAAACTAAGGGTTGGATGAATGGATGGTATTCTTGTTATATATGTTTCTGTTGCCGCACTTGAGTTTCTGGATTAAATGGTGATTTTGAGGAACAACCCTACAACCCTGAAGGAATATATAGAGGTGAAGAAAATTTAACACATTTTGCTATCTGGATACAACTTTGGGTGAATTGGATTATAAAGATGTGTCTAGGATTCTTGTGGATGGATATTGGTTCTATAATAAATGTATTGCTTCTGACGGTGATTACATCAATGAGTGGTTTTAGTGCCTCTCCCAGGGGATTTTTTGGGACAACTCGTGTAGAATGGGTCTGAATACAGCAGTCACTGCTGTTCATGGACTCGTACTTCTTAGGCATCTTTAATTTGGGTTTCTTTAATGTCCTGTCCAGATCATGTGTTATGTTTTGTGGGTATATAGTTTGTAGGAGTGTGTAGCTTTTTACCATTGTAGGTTTTCTCGTCTGGGGACAGTCTTCCACTTATCTGTGCATGTGAAACAAAAAATATGATTAAGAATTCCAACTGCTTATAATTCATTTTATGAAAGGGCAGAACCAATAAAGTAACACATAATTCAATGAAATAACTATTTTTCTCTTTCTTCTTCTGTCATTTCTTTCATCGTCAGATCAATTATTTTTATTTTATTGTAAGGGACACAAAGTTTAAAAAATATCAATTAACCCCAATAATCTTGCATTTTATAGGTTGATATTGATTTCGATAAAGAACCTATTGGTACTGGGAAGGATGGGAAAGAGTGTTTACTTCAGAAGACATTTGGCCCAGCAATGATGAGATAGCTCAGGTATGGCCTTTGTAATATGCTCTATAGTAACTGTTTTCAATGATGAGAAATGAAATTTAATGCTCTTTATGCTGGTGTAGGTTGTGCAATCAAGTGTATTGCCTGACATGTTCAAAAGTACCTATGAAGCTATCACTAAGGGGAACCCCATGTGGAACTCTCTTGAAGTTCCTGTTGGCACCCTCTATAAGTGGGATTCAAACTCCACATACATACATGAACCCCCATATTTCAAGAATATGAGCTTGGATCCACCTGGACCTTTTGGAGTAAAGGATGCCTATTGTCTTCTTAATGTCGGTGACAGTATAACTACCGATCATATCTCACCGGCGGGGAGCATCCACAAGGATAGTCCTGCAGCCAAGTTCTACTTGAACGTGGGGTTGATCGCAAAGATTTTCAACTCATATGGTAGCCGTAGAGGCAATGATGAAATGATGGCAAGGGGTACCTTTGCAAACATTCGCATTGTAAACAAGCTTCTTGAATGGAGAGAAGTGGGTCCAAAAACAATTCACATTCCAACTGGGGATAAGTTGTATGTTTTTGATGCTGCTATGGTAAAAAACTAAATCTCTTTTCTATTGCTTTTAAAATGATACTTATGTTGACTTGTTAGTTTTGTTTAGTAAGGAAAGTTAATTGCATGAGACTTAATGCATTCAATTTCAATCATAATTGCAGAGGTACAAGGAGGCTGGTCATGAAACCATTGTCATAGCCGGTGCTGAGTATGGAAGTGGTAGCTCTAGGGATTGGGCTGCCAAAGGTCCAATGTTACAGGTAAGTGGATTTTAAATGTGTATTAGGTTTCTTTGCTCTTGTTTGTATGAAGATGCCTAATAATGGAGAATAAATAATGTGATTACAGGGTGTGAAAGCAGTGATCTCTAAGAGTTTTGAGGATCCACCGAAGTAATCTTGTAGGTATGGGTGTTATCCCTCTATGCTTCAAGGCTGGTGAAGATGCCGAAACATTAGGACTAACCGGTCACGAGAGATACACAATTGACCTCCCTTCAAAAGTTAGCGAGATTAGACCGGGACAAGATGTCACTGTAAAAACTGACAATGGAAAGTCCTTTGTTTGCACCATCCGCTTCGACACAGAGGTGATTATTATGAACATCCTTTAATTAAAATTCGATTGTTTTGTTTCAGTGCTTGGCTAAATTCTGAAATAATATTTGTATGAAATTGTTTTGTAGGTTGAGCTCGCCTATTTCGACCATGGTGGAATCCTTCCATATGTCATTCGTCAATTGATGAAGCAATAATTTTTCATCGATTGAAATGAGTTTTGGTGGTCAAGTTCGGTCTTCTCTTGCTCTTCTCTGCCTTTCATACAACAAAGAATTTCCAATAGGGATTTTTTGTTAATAAGTGAGGATCTTGTGATTCAAAATTTCATGTTTGTTTTAAGGTAAACTTGTCAAAATGTACCTTAGTTTACATTCTTTATGTGAATTATCACCTTAATTAATTAATTTTATCAAATTAATAGCACTTTATAATTTTCTTTTCCGCTGAAGAAGTCAATTTTTAACTCCCCTGTTTTCCTCACTCTGTACACTTCCTCTTCCTCCAATGTCAGTTGCTCCAATTTCTTCCTTCTCCATTTTTTTCTCTCTTCATTACAATGCTGGAAAATAACAAGGTTCTGCATATTCTGCTAGTTTTATTAAAATTTAAAGACCGTACTTACAGTTTACCTTGAAATCGTCCGTTAAAACCCAGTCAAAGAACTGAATGTAACCCTTAACACAATAGGAACGAGTTCATACATCCAATTATCTCCACCAAAAACAGTATACCTCTAGTATGTTTGTAAGATAAATACGGAGTACGAGATGTAAAATTTGTTATGATATATGAATTCTACAAAGATTCAGCATCTTTGTTGCTGTCTATTGAGTAGAATGAAAGTTTTTGCTGAGGAAGAAGCCAATCTTTTCCATCAATATATGATACATCCAAATATGATGCTGCCTCATTTTGGTTAAGTTGCTTACTATAAGAAACCCTATTTGCGTAGCTTGCTCCTGGACCCGTGCATTCATATTCTCCGAAGAAAACAGTCCTGTTACAATCACATAATAATCGTTAGAAAACATCTTCTATTTGATCTCGACACTTCTCACTTTAGTCCCTTGCTATAAGTTCTTAACGCGTGTACATTTACTTCGTGTAAATAGTAAGTGTTGAGATCAATTAGAAACAGAGGAAATATATTGCATTTATCTTTATTTTTTGATGTTTGCATTTATCTTTATTCATTCATTAAAATTAAACTTTACTTCTCTTATCGTATCCTTTGTATGTTTCCGGAAAAAGTTTAAAAGAGAGAATTTACGTACGAGTCTCTAGAGGGATCTCTCCAATCATTCCATCCATCAGGAGAAACAACCTCGGACATGTATGTCTTGGAAAACACAACTGTTGAATAGGGTCCCCAAGCTCTACCAAGCCAAATTTTACCACTTCCACCAATGTTGCAATTCACAAAGGAGAATCCTGTGTTTTCATCTTGTGATTGTCTCCCGTGTGCCGTTATTGATCCATCCACCCCTTGTGCATTCCCAGCTATCGAGTTAATTGTGCAATTCTACAATGAAAATACAACCATTTTATTTCAATAACCTTGTCTCATTATTTGTTACCTTGTGAATATATTAACTAAAACCACAAACATATATTCCCTTCGTCTCTAAATATATATATATATATATTTTTATTTTTTTGTGACACTGCTTGACTACTATTAAAGTAAGAACAACATTTAGAAGAGTATGGAGTTTACGATAACCTCGTAGAGTGATCTAGCTTCTCCAAAAATGAAATCAATAGAACCTTGAATGAAGCAATCCTTGAAGTAATGCCTGCCACGATCATCATTAAGTGTGTCTTGAGACCCATAAAATCCACAACCATAAAAGGCAGCTTCATCACTTGATATTTTTAGTGCCACTCCTTGCCCTCCTTCATCTCCTGGAGATGGTTGAGGTGCTGTATTCTTTTCTCAAAACACCCAATGTTCGTTATAACAAAGTAAAATATAATTTTCTATTGCATGCAAAACACTATAAATTCTCTCTCCGCTTTAAACTGTTTGCACAATTTGCTTTTTCACGGTCTCCAAATTACAGGTTTGTTTATTCTCTTTATATT